TATTGTACCTCATTATTGGGTAGTACTTTCTTTTTGTACACCCATTCACATCCTACAGCTTTGCAACCTTTGTGGCAAAGTCATAGATGTGAACACTTTATGTTCACCCATGGATTTCATTTCTTTGTCCATGGCTTCTTTCCACTTCGCACGTTCAATTTTGGGTAATGCCAATACTTCCTTATAGTTTCTTGGCTCATATCACACATTACGCACCTTTAGTTCACCAGCAGAATACCTGTCAGGTGGAAGCCCCTTGTTCCATTGCTCTGACCTTCATGGTATTGACTGCTCCTCTGTTTCAGCTCTCTCTGGCTTCATATCTGAGTCATCATCTTCTCCTGACTCCTTTTCTTGTTCTTTTTTAGCTTCTCCTCCCTGAACACTGACACCATCACTAAGTGAGTTACCGTCACTAATTGAGTTGCTGTCACTAAGTGGATCATTCCAAAAACAGGTATCAATTCTGCTCCACTTTTGCTCTGCAAAGCTAGCAGACCTTGAAATCACTATTCTTCTGCTCCCATCACTAAAGTGATAGCTCTTTGAGCCAGGCTCATAGCCTGTAAACCTGAGCTTTCTAACCTTTGGTTGACCTTTTCTCCTGATTGTTTTTGGAATACGCACCCATGCATTGCTTCTTCCAAAAGAAGCAATAGGACAGGGACGGTAGGCACGTTGGTGCACTTATGCACAACCCCTACAGACCTCTTAGGAAAGGGGTGAGGTCAATAGTAGACAGTCTAAGGTTAAAGTTTTTGGGGTTTGGGGAAGAAACCACAGAGTCAGGTAGAGTAGTCCAGACATTGACCACTCTGTTGCTGAAGTCGTATTTCCTGCAATCAAGTTTGGTGCGGTTTACCTTGAGTTTGTGTGCTCTTGTATTGCTTTGACTGAAACTGAAGTATTAAGTACTCTTAATAGTACATTTTTAGATTCACTGCCTTATTTGTGTGCAACCTTACCTCTCTTGTTTCCATAATTACCATAGCTACCAGTACTCAAACCAACATATAATCCTCTGTTTTTACTCCTCCCTCTCTCTCTCTCTCTCTCCTCTTCTTCTTACATACACACATATACAGGCCTACATATTCAACATCGCCCACAAAGAGCGTCAGTTTTTCATCCTCCTGGCTTTCCTTTTCTGCCGATCTCCAGGAGTTTAGGAAGCAGCTTTTCACCAACTCATTCTATTGTGGGATGGGAAACAAAGGGTAAAGACTTGGATTTAAGCTTAATAACAAGAAGTGCCTTCATGCAGAAAACCACCACAGAAAGAATGCCCTCTCTAATATGTACCAAAGGGGGAAGGGGAAGAAAAAAATCTTTCAAAATAACTAATTAAAGTTGTTTTAGCCTCTCACACATGCTTCTGAGGGCCCTTAATCTCACTGGGGCAATGGCATATGGAACAATAGTCTCCCAAACTCCCCTCTCCTCTGTGCCCCCAACCACTATCTCAGAGGTTTTAAAACAAGAGCCACTTTACGTTAATGAGCTCTCAGATGAGGAGAATAAGTCACTAATGAACACTGATGATCACACATTCCCTGATTCAGTGAATAGGATCCTGCCAAATCCATGAGTGTCAGAAAGTTTCATTCACAAAATCCACAGGCCAGAAAAGTGGGAAGTTGCAGGGGTGGCGGAACTCTGGTATATGAGGAGAGGAGGGGTCAGCATGGAATGAGTTGATGAAGAAATAGCATATCCGCATGATCAGCAGTAGCCAAACCGCAGGATTTGGGGGTCCCACTCCTCGTTCTTTTGTCCTGTAGCTAATTAGGAATAATCCCCACCATCACCATCATCAACGATTGTTGAAATAATCACTAAATGTTTGAGTTGTGTGTTGCCAGTATAATCCCTAAAATGGTGAAAGTGGAAAGGGAGGGCAGGGAAGAATATGAGAACTATCCCCTAAGAATGGATTGGGAGATTCTATAGCTTACCAGCAAATGACTCAAGTAATACAACAAGTAGAATATAACCCAACCTTTTAAGGATTTGATTTATTTGATTTGTCAATCGCTTACAAGATAATAGGTATAAGGATAAACATAGTTTTGAATACATCAGATGGATACGTATAAGAAAAATAAAAAACAATAGGACAGGGACGGTAGGCACAATTGGTGCGCTTATGCACACCCTCTACAGGCCTCTTAGGAAGGGGGTGAGGTCAATAGTAGACAGTGTAAGGTTAAAGTTTTTGGGGTTTGGGGAAGAAACCACAGAGTCAGGTAGACTATTCCAGACATTGAGCACTCTGTTGCTGAAGTCGTATATCCTGCAATCAAGTTTGGTGCGGTTAAGCTTGAGTTTGTATCTATTGCATGCTCTTGTATTGTTATGGTTGAAGCTGAAGTATTCATTGGGAGGTAGGACATTGCAATGTATGATTTTATATACTATATTTTGATCGGACCAAAGGCGGCGTAGTTCTCGGTTTTCTATGTTTAGAATTTCAAGTCTGGTGGCATACCAAAGGCGGCGTAGTTCTCGGTTTTCTATGTCTAGAATTTCAAGTCTGGTGGCATAAGGTATTCTGCAATGAGTAGAGGAGTGGAGAACTCTTGTGAAATATTTCTGGACTTTCTCAACTATGTTAATAGCAGATATGTAATGTGGGTTACAGACTGATGAGCTGTATTCAAGTATTGGTCGAGCAAATGTTTTGTATGCTCTAGTTAGTAGTGTGATATTACCAGAGAAAAAGCTACATAGGATTAGGTTAACAACTCTTAATGTCTTTTTGGCTATGTAGTTACAGTGGGCTGTAGCACTTAGATCATTAGAGATGAGTACTCCCAGGTCCTTGACAGAGTTTGGATCATTAACAAGGTCTTGATTATTCAGCTTGTATTTTATTTTCTGATTTATTTATTTTCTTTCTTTCTTTCTTTCTTTATTGGTTGATGGAGTTGATGTTGGCATAATGGGCTGTGTGATGGCCTTGTGAGTTTTGTTGTGGAGATATCCTGGATCTTGTGCTTTAATCTCCTGGGTCATTTGTGTTTTGATCTCTTTTCCATTAGCCTCCTATGTTGTAACGGCTTGGATAATGGGTTGTGGTGTAATTTCCCGAGTTTTCTGATGTGATATCCTGAGTGGGTGGCTGTGATGTAGCATTCTGAGTTTTGGTCTGGCTTTGAGTTTGGGGTCTGGGTCTGTGTTCTTGGCGTGTGTCAGCTTATTTGGTTTTGGGGTCAGACGGTGCAACAGCTGGCAAAACAGCCGTGGTCTGGTTTCTGGGTGGTGGTTGTCCTTAGTTTATAGGATGGGTTTGGGCCTGGGTCTAATGAGGGGAATTGATGGTGGTGTCCCATGTTGTTTTGGGTCTGGTGTTGGTTTTCGTGGCTGGGAATCATTTGCCATGAAAAAAAACACCAGACCCAAAACAACACAGGACACCACCGCCAATCCCCCTCATCAGACCCAGGCCTTTCACCAACACTCACCTTCCTTTTTTAGGGAGTGCAGTCTGGGGTACTTTTCTGTTTATCCCATGTGAGTTTGTTGATGTTACTTTTTTTTAGGGATATTGGATGATGTCACTTTTCTTATTAAATATTTTTATTTTTTAAAAAACAAAAGTACAAATCTCTATTCAAATGAACAGTGTTCATGTCGTTATTAATACATATCTCACCTTTTATACATAAACATCAGCTCTTATTTCTATTCTTCACCCATTTGTATCACCTATCCCAAACTGCATAAGAGTCCAAATCATCTTTGCCTCTTAATTCCATTGTGAATTTATCCAGTTCCACACAATATATTATTTTTTGTTTCAAGTCTCCTTCAGATGATATCTTTTCCTTCTTCCATCCCTGTGCAAAGGCTATTCTTGTTGCAGTTATGATATGTATAATGATGTATCAGATGACCTTGCTCAATTTTCCCTTAATTATTCCTAATAATATTAGGAATAATAATATTTCCGGTTTGATTCTAATTTGTGCTCTGTAATTTCTAATAAACATCTTTGTACCCTCATCCAATATTTTTTAACCTCTGGACACTGCCACCACATATGGAAGAATGTTCCTTCTTTGTGTTTACACTTCCAACATTCTGCTTTTGTGTTTGGAAACATTTTGGCCAGTCTTGCTGGGGCTAGATGTCACCTACATTTTATATTGATTTTCTTTAAATGCTGTTGACAATGTCAATTTACAGTTGTCAATCCACATTTTTTCCCAATCCTCTAAATTTATATTATGCCCTACATTTTTTGCCCAGATGATGTCACTTTTCTAAGCGTTTGCATGTTTTCTTTGAGGGAGAGGTTGTGGGTCTGAGTATTTTCAACTAGGGGAAAAATTGTTTGCTGTTTTAATGGGGCTGCTTCTGATTTAGATTGGGCAGCAGGGGTTTGTTAGATGTGTGCTGCTTCTTTCTTTGATTATCGTGTTTCCTTGTATATGTGACATACCTCCATTTATCTTCCTCCAAGGGTTTGTCAGCGGGGTCAAATCCTCTGGGAGTTATTTGTTCATTATTTGGTTTAATTTGGGCATAGCTTTCTTGCATAAGCTGGTGTTCAGCCAGAGCTGCCTCTGAATCCCTTATTTTTTCCTCTAGTAGTTCACATAGCTTACATTTAATATATGTGTAATTTGGGTGTTCTTTGAGCATAAGCACATACATGGAACATACATTGCATACCACAATAGTATCAGCCCCCTGTTCCATGAATTTGTTTCTTTTTGCTGGTTCTTTTAAAGATAAAAAGTTCTGTATTTTTTATTCTTTTTTCTGCCTTTTTGTGCTTGTTTTTATATCTTGTTATTTATTTTATTTGCTTATTATGTTAGTTTTACTTATCCCTTTCTTCCCTGTATATTTAGAGCTCCCGTGCCCCCTATCTTATTATTTAAGATTTGCCTTATTTATTTGATCTTTATTAATCCTATTCTTCCTTGATTTCTCATTTTCCACTCTTGTCATTATTATTTGCCCTTTTATTTTCTTCCCTGTATTTAAGAAAGTCCAGTCTGCCCTTCACCAATTCCATCATCTCAGAATTTCTTTTATTCAGAATAGAACAGAACAGAACAGAATAGAACAGAACAGAATAGAACAGAACAGAATTCTAGCATGCTGCTAGCTGTCATGAGGGTCAGGTCAGTGGAGAATTTTTCATTACATCTTTGCAACTACGGTCTAGGTTTTGCTAGCTCTCCAAGGTCATTTCTTCTATTTTGGTATACAGCAGGCAGAGTTGCCTAGCTACAAGGGGGTTGGATTCTACAGTTCATTTCGATTTGCTGCTTCACATGCTTTTGCCTCAGAACTTGTCTCAAATTTGTTGCATTCAGTTCTTTCCTAATAAAAAACTTTTCCTCTGAATCTATGGAGCCAAGGGTTTTTCTTTCCTTGGAAATGGCTGGAGGCAGCCCTGACATTAGATCTGCTTTACCGGACAACCCAGAGACAGCGGTCTACTGTGGGGACTAAAGCATCTAATATCCAACCACAAGAGTGAGCTAGAGGAACCTGAAGCTATAGCCAGCTCACCTACTAGACCACCCCATGGTCCAGATCAGGCCAAAGGTCCCAGCCTTGGGGGTGAAGTATGGAGGAGACCCTGAGCAACTGGGGTTCTTCTTGGTGAAAGCCTGGAACTACATGCAGGAGGATGAAGCCGAACTGGAGATGGGAGAAGTCAGAATAAGATGGGTTGACCGTGGGTCTGGAGGGTGCAGCAGCTGAGTGGATGGTCTCCCTTCACAATAACAATGCCCCCCAAATGCAGAACTATGACCACTTTATGGCAGCCCTTTGCCAATGGTTTGAAGACCCACTGGCAGAGCGTAGAGCTCGGAACCAGATGAAGACCATTACCCAAGGGCAATGGTTGATGGCCATGTACACCCAGGTGTTCCGAGAGTCAGCATACTGGCTAGCCATATGGCCCGAAGACTTGTCTCTGCATGACCTAGGATCCAGCAGGGGAGGCAATTCCTTTTTGCCACTGGCTACAGTTGCACCTCTTCTCTGGCCTGCACAGCCAATTGGTTATCCACACTCACTGGTTGCATCCGCTCTCCTGTCCGTGCAGCCAGCTATTCAGTTGTTCATTCATGGATTCCTTGACCAACCACTCTTATCACAAAACTGTCCTGGTCCCTCTGTCACTTTCCATAGTCCCTCTCAGATGTCCCCGGAGCAGCTCTTCTACATTGTCCGAACTGGCGTCCAAGGGAGCCATCACAGAAAGACTCTTTGTTCATTTTAACTGCTCTGTATCCATGAGAGAAACTTTGAGCCCCAAATCATCTTTAGAGTCATGAATATTAAAAAAAAAAACATTTCAAATTATCAAATGTTTTTTCCATATTAAAAAAAAAATCATAGGCGTTTCTTATTTTTGTAATATTGTTAATGACATTCAAAATATATCCGGTATTATTGCTCATGTTCCTCTTTGGGACTATCCCAGCAAATATGGTTATATCTTTCCAGCAACATGCAAGAAGCATTCATAGAATATCTTCCTGCAAAAGTTGGCCTTGAAGAATATTTTATTTCATTGCTCAGGCATTTCACAATGAGCGGTCTTCTCTAAACAGTGTCCAGACATATTCTTTTATATATTATTTGTTCATACAAGGACGCTATCTCTTTTCATATTTTATATTACAGTTTAAGGAATATTTTTGCTAGCCCTCTGCTAATGAAAATGGAGCTTGGGGAGGCCGCACGTGGGGGACCCAATCTCTGTTTTCACTGGCAAAGGGCTAGTAAAACAAACTAAAAAGAAAAGGAGAAATGTTTCCCCTTTTTCATTTGAACACGCAAGAATGGACAGGAAAGAGGAAAGGGAAAGAGGAAAGACAAAGAAAAAGAAGGAAAGAGGGGAAGGAAGAAGAAAGGAGAAGGAAGAGGGAAGGAAAAAGAAAAGGAAGGAAGGTAGATTACAATGAGAGTGAGTGAGGGAAGTCCTGCCTTGGCACTTGGCCACCACAGATGCTCCCGACACTAGTAATGCCACACCCACCCCAGCCACGCCTACTCTGGCCCCCCACAAGGTCAAACACAACCCTGATATGGCCCTCAATGAAATTGAGTTTGACACCCCTGGGTTAGAAGTTATCTAGTAAAAAAAATAAATATATATTTCTGTAAGGCAGCAGGAAAAAGAAGATTCACAGACTGCAAAATCAAGGTTAAAGTATGGGGGAGACCCTGAGCAACTGAGGTTCTTCCTGGTAAAAGTCTGGAACTTTTCTTAATTTGTCAAGCAAGTATTAGATGACAGGTATAAGTATAAACATGAATACATGAAATAGGTCTGAATAAAAAGGACCATTAGGACAGGGATGGTAGGCACCTTGGTGCACTTATGCAGGCCCCTACAGACCTCTTAGGAAAGGGGTGAGGTCAATAGTAGACAGTCTAAGGTTAAAGTTTTTGGGGTTTGGGGAAGAAACCAGAGTCAGGTAGTATATTCCAGACATTGACCACTCTGTTGCTGAAGTCGTATTTCCTGCAATCAAGTCTGGTACAGTTTACCTGGAGTTTGTATCTACGGTGTGCTCTTGTGGTTGAATACTGGACGCAACCTATTTTGCATATAATAAATATATGTCCTGCACCACATTAAGAAGCATCTTAATTCTCCCCTCCAAGTCAAATATATTTTACAATTTTGATCTATATCATCAAATATTGCATCACTGGGAATATTATACCCAATGTGAAGTACAGGTGATAATAGTGAAATAATTAAACACTTCTGCTGCATTCTGTACCAAATGCTCCATATCTGGGACAACATTTACATCAGTTCCTATTCATGTACAAGATACCAAAATAGTTGTGATGGGTTTTTTTTTAGTATAATTGTATTGAAGTTTTTAATAAAGAGTACTTTAGATGACTCCATTTGTAACCTTCAACAAGCCTTAGTTCCTAATATAGGCTTATATTGTATATAATGTATTATTTTGTATATTAAATTGTCTAAACTTTCTTAAATCCAAGGAAAGTAAAAATCTCTGGCTGTCAAGCTTGCTGTTTTAAAGGTCTCTAATATCCATAAAGTGATTAAATTAAACATTTCTGAGTACAATTAGAAAGTGAGCCCTTACTAGGTCCGCAATTCAGAGGTGGTATTCAGCAGATTCTGACCAGTTCTGGAGAACCAGTAGCGGAAATTTTGGGTAGTTAAGAGAACTGGCAAATACTACCTCTGACTAGCCCCGCCCCCATCTATTCTCTACCTCCCGATTCCCAGCTGATTGGCTGGGTCTTCTTTTGTTGCCCTGTACAGGTGGACAGAGCTGGAAAGGAGGTTAGTGGGGTGGGGAGGGAATGGGGATTTTGCAGTATCCTTCCCTTGCCACGCCCACCAATCCACATCCACCAAGCCACGCCCACAGAACTGGTCGTAAAAAAAATTTGAACCCCACCACTACCACAGTTGCTAATAGCAAAAATGTCTCCCTAAGCTCCTGACATTCAAATCCACAAGAGTCCATTGTTATATAGTCTCCTTGCAAACAGCTGCCATTCAGAGCACTCATGGGCAATTTCCCAATCTCTCCTCTAGAGCAGAGGTCCCCAACCACCGGGCCGCGGACCGGTACCGGTCCGTGGAACATTTCCTACCGGGCCACCGGTTTGCTGGGCGCCGCCATCTTGTTTGATGAGAAAGTGCTTCCGGTTGAGCTTTTCCGGTTGGAAAGCGGCATTTGGGTCCTGAAGGAATCCTCGCGCCTTAGTTTCATCGAAGGGGGGACTTCGAACGAAACTAAGGCACGAGGATTCTTTCAGCACCCAAGGCAAGGCAAGCCGAGTGACCATCCCGAAGCCATCCCGAAGCGAAGCCCATCGACAAAGGTACAAAGGAGGAGTTGAAGGTGGCGGGGAGAAGTGGGGGACGGCTGGCTGGCCAGTCGCTCGGCTCGCTTTGCCTTGTCATTCGTGCTGATGCCGGTACCGGGCCGCAGATCATTTTGTGATGCCGGTACCGGGCCGTGGCACAGAAAAGGTTGGGGGCCACTGCTCTAGAGAGCTTCAAAGTCTGACCGCTGGTCTTTCATTCTTACACAGCAGTTGTCAATCAGCCATGACTCACAGTGAAAACTAATAGTGACAATATTTTCTGAATATCTACATCTGAGTGAACACATTAATAAATAAGTGTGAACCCATAACACATATCAAAATAAAAGTATTATGATGAGAAATTTCCTGATGGTGAGAACAATTAATCTGTGGAACAGCTTGCCTTCAGAAATTATGGGTACTCCATCACTGGAGATTTTCAAGAACAAATTGAACAACTATTTACGAAGAATGGTAATGTGTCTCCGACTTGAGCAAAGCATTGGACTAGAAGACTTCCAAAATCACTTTCAACTCTGTTATACTATGAAGATGATGAACTTGCTTTTACCCATCTTTGTTTCTTTTAACTGAAAACTTGCTAAAATGACTTTCTGTGCTGTATTTTAAAATAGGTCCCCTTCGTTTTAAACCAGAACTGAGGAGTTTTAAAAATGTTATTGAGCTCAAATTAAAAACGAATCCAAAACTTTCACCCCCTGCTTGTTCAAGGAAATAATGTCTCTGCATATAGGAATTCTTTTGAATGTATCCCATGGCTGAATGATAGACTAAATGGGCTTTGCTACTAACTACATGGTCTATGGAGACATCCAGTGTTCAAAAACAGCAGTGTCCGTCCTTGGGACTTATTAGTTGCAGACAATAATACTACAATGCAAAAAGGGTATTTTTTTTATATTAAATGAACTTTTTAGTCACATTCCCCATTTGCCTCACTCTCAAATACACACCTATACAATACATTTGATATTGGCCTTTGTTCACACAATCTATAAATGGTGCCAAAGCAGTTAAAGTTAGACCGGAAGACAGCAGGCAATTCCTGCAAGATACTGTTTCCTTTTGAGGAGGTCTAGTCTGGTTGTTTTACTGCTCAACAAGCCTTTCTCATTACAGTATCTCCCCTTAGATTCAGACTCCGTCTGCTTCAATAACAGAATAACAGAATTGGAAGGGACTTTGGCATCTTCTAGTCCAACCCCTTGCTCAAGCAAGAGACTCTGTACCTGTGATGGCAAACCTATGGCACGCGTGGTGGAAGTGACATGCAGAGCCATCTCTCCGGGCACGCCAGCCATCAGCCATTGCTCTTCTGGGTTCCGGCATGCATGAAACCAGAAGGCCAGGGGGCTGGTGCACATGCATGCGCCTGAAACAGGAAGCTCAGCTGCTCTTCTAGTTTCCAGTGCTCCTGCGCGCATCAGGGAGTTGCTCTTCCGGTTTCCAGTGTTCCACTGCACATGTGTGTGCACTCCCATTTAGGCACTCAGCGCCAAAAAGGTTCACCAACAGTGCCTTTTTTCTTAAAAACCTCCAGTGATGATGTACCTGCAATTTTATGAGCAAAACGTTTCACTGATTATTTGTTCTCATTGTCAGGAAATTCCTTAGTTCTAAGTTGGATTCCTTCTTGACACCTTATGAGCTATGGTGGTGCAGTGGTTAGAGTGCAGTACTACAAGCTACATCTGCTGACTGCCAGCTGCTTGGAATTTGGCAGTTCAAATCTCACCAGACTCAGGGTTGACTCAGCCTTCCATCCTTCCGAAGTGGGTAAAATGAGGAACTAAATTATTGGGGGCAATATGCTGACTCTGTAAACTTCTTAGGAGAGAGCTGTAAAGCAGTATATAAGTGCTATTGACAAATTTCTCTTATTTCTTGTGCTGCCCTCAGGTGCTTTGGAGAATAGGTTGATACCCTCTTCTCCATGACAGTCCCTCAAATATTGAAAGAATGCTATTATGTCACCCCCAGTCCTTCTCTTTGTTAGACTAGTTATACCCAGTTCCTGCAACTATTCATTGTATGTTTAACCTCCAGCCACCTAATAATCTTTGTTGCTCTTCTCTGCACTCTAGAGTTTGAACATAGTTTTTGTATCATAGTGGCCAAACTTTGATGCTGTATTCCAAATACTGCTTACTAAAGCAGTATAAAGCAGTATTAATACCTTATGTGACCTTGGTACCCTGCTGATGCAGCATAGGTTTGCATTGGCTTTTTTGGCAGATGAAGCACACTCTCGGCTCATATTTAAGTAATTGTGCGCTAGGACTCCAAAATCCCTCTTACAGTTACTACAGTTGAGTCAGTATTAACTCAGCTGCTACTAGTTAAGTAGAATATTCTATCTATTCTATCCTCTCATCTAGATGATTTTTGAAGACGTTGAAGAATATTGGGCCTGAGACCAAACCTTGTGGTACCTCACTACGTGATTCCCTCCATGTAGATCACCCACTGAGTACAGTTGAATTGCGAATCAATCTGATGGCAGTACTGTTTATCCCATATTGTCTATCCTACCCAGAAGCAGGTTGTGGTCTACTTTGTCAAATGCCCTGCCAAAGTCCAAGTATATTATGTACTCAGCATTTCGCTGATCCACTATTTTAGTTACTTTATGAATTCAAAGTATCATGCAGTCAGCCACTTTTCCTTAGAAAGGTTATGCATACCACCTAAGATGGTGAAAAACTGGTTACAAGAGCAGGATTTTAGCTTGGATCCGAGGAACATAACTGGGAAATATCTAATGATCTTCAAAGCTACTGCATTCAAGTATACCAAAGGAATTTGTTTATGCTACGGTTGGACATTCTGCCATTATCTTATGTAATCCTAATAAAAAGTGCAAGGTAATTGGAAGACAGATGTTAATTCTACATTTAATAAAAGAGGACAACTTGGGAAAACAAGATATCAGTTGACTGATTCCTGAGAAGAACAAAATCAAATATATTGATCTGTAAGCACTTTGAAAACAATATAGCAAACTACAGCCAGTCATCACTTACTGACTGTGCTGTTTTGCAACTGATCACAGTTACAACAGCACTGAAAAAGTAATAATGATTGGTCTTTGCACTTTCAACCATTGCAGTTATAATTTGATGAAGATTTGGATGCTTTTCAACCAAGGAGTAAACACATCCATTGCAACGTTCTATAGACACATGTTCAGTTGTGAACTTCATAATTTGGCACATTTAAGAGTGTTTGGAAGCAATGTTGTGGGTGCATATTCCAAAAGCAATTAGAAGAAAGGGACAACCAACGGCTAGAAAGTTCAGGTTTATGGGCTATGAGTCGGGCTCAAAGAGCTATTGCTTTAGCAATGGGAGCACAAGAATAGTGATTTCCAGATCTGCTAGCTTTGCAGAGCAAAATTGCAACAGAATTGATGCAAATTTCTGGAATGATCCACTTAGTGATAGTGATCCACTTAGTGATGGTAACTCACTTAGTGACTGTGTCAGCATTCAGGGAGGAGAAGCTGAACAAGATATGAAGCAGGAAAAGGATGAAACACAGGAGCAATCAACGCCACGCAGGCCAGAGCGATGAAACAAGGGGATTCCATCTGACAGGTATTCTGCTAGTAAAGTTAAGGTGTGCAATGTATGGTATGAACCAAGGAACGATAAGGAAGTTTTGGCATTACCTAAAATTGAACAAGTAAAATGGAAAGAAGCCACGGATAAGGAAATAAAATCCATGGGAGAACATAAAGTGTTCACATCTGTGAGTTTGCCACAGGATGCAAGTGGGTGTACAAGTGGGTGCCCAATAACGAGGTCCAATATAAAGCAAGGTTAGTGGCACAAGGATTTTCACAGATGAAAAATGTGCACTATGATGAGGTATTTGCGCCAACTGTAAAGAGTGAAAGCATCAGGCTGGCACTAGTGTTGGCAGTAGCACATTGTTATAAAATTTGGCATTTTGACATAACCACTAAATTTCTCAGTGCAGAATTAGAGGAAGAAATTTACATGGTTCAAGCACCAGGATATGAAAGTAAAAAGCCTACCTAACACGGTGTATAAATTGAACAAGGCCAGTTATGGGCTGAAGCAGCCAGCCAGGAATTGGTATACGTGTCTAGATAAGGCATTGAAAGGTCTTGGGCTCAAAAGTTGCAAAGCTGATGGTTGCATATACAGTGGAAAGATAAAAAGTGGGGATTGTCAACTATTAGTATTTGTGGATGATCTTCGCTTCATTGCAAAGGCTGTATCACAGGTAAACAAATTTGCTAATAAGTTGGGAAAGAAATTTGAATTAAAGAATTGGGGAAAAATAAAAAATTATCTTGGTGTGGAGATACAAAGAACTGAGAAAAGTGATTATATTCTCAGTCAGCAAACAAAAATTGAATAGCTGTTGGAGAGATATAACATGAAAGATTGTAATACTGCCCCAACACCTATGAGTACAGATTTTCATAACAGTTTGGGTGAGGATGAAAGTGAAGCCTGTGATCAAGAGATATATCAGTCAGCAATAGGGAGCCTGTTATATGTGTCACAGTGGTCCAGACCAGACATAGCTTGTGCTGTAGGCATTTTGAGTCACTTTACTGCTGCACCAACGCAATTGCATTGGATGGGTGTAAAAAGGATTCTCAGGTATTTGAAAGGAACTGTAAATTTGGGTCTTCAAATACAAGTCTCTGAAGAATTAAAATTGAAATGTTATGTTGATAGTGATTATGCAAATGATGTAAAAACCAGAAAGTCCAATTCTGGGATTGTGATATTGTTTGGAGGGCCTTTAATTGGTTGGAAGTCCAGAAAGCAAACAACTGTAGCCATTTCTACTGTGGAGGCAGAATTTATTGCTTTGTCTGAACTCTGTTCAGAGATAACTTGGTATGTACAACTGTTACAGGATTTAAATGTAAAGGTAACTGAATCAGTATTAGTTTATGACAACACTGCCTGCATTAAAATGGCAACAGGTGACAGAGTAAAAAAATAGAAGCAAGCATGTGGACATTAAATATTGTAATGGAAGAGAAGCCATCAAAGATAAATTGATTAGCTTGCTTCACTGTGTGTCAAAAGACAATCTGGCCGACATAATGACCAAGCCATTGGGTGGAGTGCACCATGGGAAGAATATAAAGTTAATTGGATTTATGTCTCTTCCAGTTATGGAGGTGTGTCAGAGTATATTCATTAACTGGCAGAGACATGGTTAACAAAGTCAGCCAATGGAAGCTGAATTGGGGGCTGAGGCTGGAAGGAGTCTGGGCGTGGCTTAGCTCCATGCTCTCAATTCTAAAGAGAAACTAACTTGCTTGCTTGCTGAAACTGATATCAGCTCTGAGCTGCTGCTGCTGCTGCTTGTGTTTTTGCTTATGTTACGCTGGAAGAAACTGCTGGTATTGTAAACTTCACTTCAATATGTTAATATGTTTATAAAGAAGTTAATGATCCTGCTCAGTCAATCATCGGTGTGTTTTCTGGATTTGAATTTCTGCTGCCAAGTCTTAACAGGTTTCTTTTGAAATACTAAGTTTCAAGAGATTTTACTTTCTTGAGTGAGGAGAGGCAGGACCTTATGCATCATCAGTCTGAAAACCTGTGATTCCTGTACTGAGTATGGAACTGAATTCAAGGGTCTTACATGTTCCTATTCAATTGTTACAGTTCAATGATCTTGTGAATTTTGATGCTCACAATGTTCTGAATTAACCAACCGAATATGGGAGGAAAGCTAAGAAACAAACAATTACAGCTTTAAAGTGGATAAGAGATGATGGTTAGAAAGGGAATATGTTTAAATACAGCAGTGGCACAATCAAAGCTAGAATAAGGACGGAAACTAAAGAGGGAGATTAATAAAATGCACATTTTTATATAATAAGGAGAAGTAATAATAAGAGGGGAATTCAGAATTTGAATGACAGTATTACTAAGTATACTTAAATAATATGGTGACTGGCATAAAAATAATATATTGAACTATTGATTAAACAAATAATGAAAGATTATAATTCAATATGAATATGTGTATGTTTGTTAAATGTAACAAATATGATTAAAATATCTTATTTGTATCAAAATGTACGACATGCAGAATATGGTGATTGACATAAAAATAACATACTGAAATATTGAATAATCAAATAATGAAGGATTATAGATTGAATAAGCAAATGGAAGATTTGAATTTAACATAAATGTTTGTATTATTATTAGAATTATATAAGCTTGCTAAATGTAATAAATATGATTAACAATATTTTATTTATATTAAAAGTTATGACACTTAGAATAAGTTAATTGGCATAAAAATAACACATTGAAATATTGAATGACTAAATAATGAGAGATTATAATTTAATATGTGTATTATTACTATAATTATATAAACTTGTTAAATGAAAAAAATATGATCAATACTATTTTATTTGTATCAAAATGTATTACACTGAGGTGCCACACTGTTCACACATTGATATGTTTGTAAAAAATAAAAAAATAAAAAACTTGGGAAAAAAACTTTAGCAAAAAACCCTTAAATTTAGACAAAATACACTAAATCAGATTTATTAGGCAAGTATAATGGAATAAATTATAATAGTTGCTCTGGCGCTACCAGCAGAGGATCTGTAATAGTATTGCATTTTACTGGGACTGATCATTTCTACCAAACATCCCAACTTCATTAGACTTTTTTTTTTAATTTCCAACAGATACTTTCTATTTCATAATGAATTCTCCTACACAACAAGATGAATCAGTACCATATTTAAATATGATTTAAACAAAAGTTTGTTTTCTAATGACTTAAATTTCATGATTAATCTCAATCTTTCAAATATCATTGATAGAGTGGGAAAAATAGAAGTCTTTAGTATCTCCCAAAAAAATAATCTCATCTAACATACTCCAACTTGTCAAATTTCACTTTCATAAATTGTATCCATGATCACCAAGGTGTGTAATTTAACAAGTGGCAACTATCTGACAAAAAATCCTTCTTTATAGTGTAGTATATTTCCTTCTCTAGAGTGTGCAGTTCTCATTTATAGCTCTATTTTTATAGTAGAACTTTTATAATACCAGTTAAATTAAAAGCAGCACACAAACAAAAACAGTGCCCACCTTGAGTTAGTGTAGGTCTGAGGCAATGACATATATGTATTCTATTAGTTCCCAATTTTTTAACAGTCGAAATAGATACTATTTTCTGCACAGTATTTAAACTGGAAGCACACCTCATGCATGTTTGAATTATGCAACTGTATTCCATAGTACTGACTATGCCTCTTGCTATGAGGAGCTTTTAATTGACAGGTTCAGTCATATATATATATATATTTGTTTTCTTAAGTTTTCGCGGGTACTTAGATGTGTGGTATTCAGCTTTGTTCGGGTATTTTCCCATGTCATTATAGTTGTGCATGGCCGAGATAAGGAGGGGCGAGGTGGGTGGAGTAAGAATGCAGTCAGCTTGTCACGCATGCGCGCAATGTCATGCATGCACGATAAGGACTGACTGGGCAGGAAGCGGAGAAGCGGGTGGAGAAGGGCGGGGCCAGCCAGGGGCCCGTTTTACTGGTTCTCCGAAATACTGGGAATCATAACAACTGGTTCTACCGAACTGGTCTGAACAGGTAGAATCCCACCCCTGGTTATAGTAATTTCTTCTATGCACATAATTACCATCTTTGCCTTTCAAAGGAGACAATTTTGCGGATGTCAATATCATAATCCATCCGTTTTGTAATTCTGACCAGGCTCAGAAATTAGCAAGGATATAGAGAACATTTTGAACTGAACAGTCTTGACACAACAGACTCATACATGGAACGCAACTGTTTTGAGCTTGAAACACTTCCAAATTACTCAGATTAGGTATTTCTCATTCAAGACAAGGTTGGAACAACATGTTGTGAGTGAGGAACAGTTCAATTAGCACAGTTCTACTATACAGAATTGAGTCTGATTAATACTTGGATCCCCAGGGAATATTAGGACTATAGATATGACTAGAAAGTCAAAATGTCCCAAAAGGCAATGGCAATCTACCTCAACACTTATGTGCTAAAACTGCATGGCTGTGTCCACACAATCACCAAGACATCAGGCTTGATTTAAAAGTGTCCTTCCTTTAACCCTAAAAACAACTACAAAACTAAAAAATAGCAATTCTAAATAGATGCAGTATTTCTCAAGCATTCCGTTCAAAACAACACAAAGATTATAGTGTTGTCCATCTCTTGGCCTCCAAGGAGCTTTTTAATTTTCCCACAGTATTTCCACACTGATTTGTCAAGTTCCATATGAAAAAGTCACTGGATAACAGATTCAACAATGCCGTAGCTTGGAGCTACTTTACAGTTCAAATCAATCTCTAGAATATCTTAAATGATAGACAGGCAGAGCAATTAATGAGAAGCAACAATAGTGGAAGCTGGAAATCATACTTTTCATGCGAATGCATAACTGTTTGTTTTTTCAACATAAATTTTCACATGAGGAATTACTAACTCAAATAGGCCCAGTTCATAATGAAAAAGGTGACTTTTAAACTTTGTGGGATTACCCAGAGATTACCCAGCATCTTCTTTACATTAGATCTGAAGATTAATAAATGGGGCAAAGCCCACGACATCCTGTAAGAGAACCAGGGCATGTTGAAATGGAGGTTCAACATCCAACTCCACTCCACGGCTACGCAATACGCTCAGGCTGGATTCCACAACGTCATGACAATGCTTCACCTTCAAGGTACGAAGCTTAGGGCAGTACTCTGCCAAGGTCCTATCAAAAGAGAACACACAAAACATCAAGATCACAATCATCTACAAGGAACTATTTATCTATTTGAAAATGAACAGTATTACGTTTTGAGGTTGAATCATTTGTCTATAATATACTTCGTCGCAATGTTATGAAGCTAAACAATTTTCAAAGGTGATTTATTACAGAAGAAAAAATTAAACCTGGATTCCCTTTCCTCACAGCTTTGTAACTGCTTAAACATTCCCAAGCCTTATATTCCTACAAAGTATATGGAGTTGCACTATATACAACAGCTACCAAGATATTTTATGCTTTTTTTCTGAAAATCATACACAATCCATTTTTTAGAAGGGCAGACCACTTTGAGGGAATATGCCTCAATATCAAAAATAACTTCATATTGGAAAAACAAGTCTGACACATAATTCAAATAATTTATGGATATTAATTCTGCATATTTATCACATCTAAAGTTTGGACTATTCTTAATGTGGGATTTTAAAAATAGGTCTTATCTGCCATGTATAGATGTATAGATGTTTTTATTTGATAGAAACCTTGATTTTAATCAGTATTCTTATTATAAAGTAGACTTTTGTGAATTACTTATCATTGATCTGATTTTCATAATAATTAAGAGTATTTTCTCCAGTATGCAAATATCCTTTAGGTATAAGTTTGATATAGAAATAAGGCATATTCCTTAAGTTCGGTTAAAATGAGTGCAACCTTCTAATGTAGAAAAATATTTTAGGACAAACTGTGCTATATTCCATTCAACAAATGATAAAGCCTAGGCTGTTTTTCACCACGACTACCTGCGTCTAAACTTTTCAAGCTCCAACTGGGTTTTATTTTAATATATACTTTTTATATAATCAGTTTAAAATAAAGCAGGAAACCAATATAATCAGAGAGGAACTGACGCATCATCATTCAGCAGAAATTTCTGCTATTGGAACGGGAACCAAACACTAAACACCAAAATATAAATTCAAGAATTTCAGGAATTCAAGGGAAATTCAAGAATTTCCCATGCTGTGGCACTTTGAAATATTTAATATTCCATCACTGAAAACAACCATGCAGGACCACTCATTGGTTCAAAACTCTTTTCTTAAATAAGGATCTTCAGGGAGTGCAACATATGTACCATGTATATAAACTACTGCAAAATACTGGACTAAATACTTTATTATTGGTGTTATTGTTGATTCGGGATTTTGATATTCATTTTAATAACATTCCTTTCTTTTCTTTATACCTATGTGATGTGCATGGAAAATAGTTATACCTACTAGCCCTTATAGATTTCTTAAAAAAGAATAAGTTTCAGGGGAAAGAGATGAAATATTTCTTTGATTTATAAAGTGGATCTTTGTATACCTGTAAACTGACTAATTCTTCTGTAGCTGGCTAATTTTATTTTATTTTTGTATCTTTAAGTCAGTGTAGACTTCTGGCACCTTCCTGAACAAGTCCCTATAGTTTTCTTGGTAAGATTTCAGAAGTGGTTTGTCCTTGCCTGCTTCTTATAGTTGAGTATGAGTGACTACTCCAAGATTACCTAAATTGATTTTGTGACTAAATTGAGATTAGAACTCAAGATCTGCCATTTCCAGCCTTCCATATCAAACTGGTTCTCGCTGGCAAGAGGCAAGGAGAAAGAGGAAGAATTCCAACAATTCAACATTTGGAAAATGCAGATAATCATTTTTACAATATCGCCTCATAATCAGAAGAAAGTACAGACTGCTGATCAAAGAGGCTTCCACCAAGCTTGGGCTTCCTTGGTGAATATACTTGCAAATCCCTGATTAGTAGTTGCAAAAAGCTAGAAATCTACAAGATGTTTGTTAGAAAGATATGGGAGAGCGAGTTTCCTTGAACAGCTTATATAATAAACAAATAGGCCTATGTGTGGTGGGGAAGAGCAAAATTACTTAATTATACCATTAAGCAATTAATTACACAAAAGTAATGAACATAATATTTACACTGAGATTTTTAAATGTAAATGTTTTTCACGGCCTTACTAATTTTCTATAGTGCAGTCCATAGTATACCAAACAAACATTAATATAGCCCATGGTCCAACCAAAATTGCATGTTCTTAGTTTAAAAATTATGAGCCCTCCCCAACTATGACTTCAGCCAACCAATCTTGCATCAGAGCATCACATTCCTTCTCAAAAGCTTCTTTTCCAGAAAGTAATCCTTTCATGTAATTAATCAAAAATGATAAAAATCCTTTCAAGTATTACACCATGTTTAAGGACTACTTTTAAAACAAGCATTTGCAAACATGACAGTAATATCAATTCATTTTCTGACCAATATGCACCATTTACAACCAAATTTGCAATGAATGCAGGAATTAATAGTGGCATAGTTGTATGGTAACTTTATCTAGTGAATGGCAGGAACCTATGATCTTCACAGGCTCTCTCATGTTCACTTAGCAACCATTTCATTTAATGACCAGGTCATTGTAGTGGAATTTGGTTGCTAAACAAGGAGTGGGTCTACTTATTTTCTAGATGCTATCTTCCTGTCAAAAGGGGAAGAAATTTCTCTCTCTCTGTCTCGGTTAAGCATTTAAAATAGGTTTTAGTCTGGTCTAAGAGTTAAAACATTAACTTAATTGTTAGATAATGTGACAAATATAACATTGGTTTAAGTATGTTTCACAGTTTAGACCATTAACATTACTCTTCAAATAACTGAACATATGGGTGTTCTATTGGGTGTTCTAATTTTGGGCGTTCTGATACCAAAAATTAGCACCAGAACCCAATTCTGATCACAAAATCAAGATAAGTTCTGTCACTGCAAAATATTCAGAAACTGCTTCTTGCAGTGGCCACTTATCACAGCCTAAAACTAAAAAGATCAAGTCTTCTTCTTCATTCACCTAGGATACCATAACAATCTTCCAGCCTAACCTACCTCATTAGACTGTTGAGAGGACAAATCTTGCCTGCCATCCTGAGACCCTTCAAGAAAAGATTAAACACAAATGTACTGCATAAAAGAACAATGTTCTTACTGACTACTGATGCACAAATTACCTAATTGAGTTGTTCTTAACTCGCAGGCAGCCGGTGAGGTCCAAATGCTCCAGATCAGAACAGGCTTTGGCAATTTCTTCTACAGCCGCATCACCAACATTTGCATTAACAGCCAGCGAAAGTGATTTTAATTTGTTGCATCTTTGAGCAAGATAGGAAATGGCTTCGTCTTTTAGCTGCCGGCAGGCCGTAAGGTCTAGAGATTCGAGCTCTTTACAGTGATCAGCAAGGCTCCGCAAGGAAAGTCCATCCACCCATTCACAATGGGCCAAAGAAAGTTGCCGTAAATTGGGGCAGCCCAAAGAAATGGCCACCAAAGCATGGCGGCTCAGCTGTATGCAGCCATTCAATTCAATCTGTTGCAACTGATGGTTTTGACCAATCACAGGAAGCAGCTCCTTGTCAGATAACCAGTCAGAGCAGTTTTGCAAGGCTAGCTGCTGCAACACTTTATTGTCTCTTAACAAGACACAGAATGCATCTTTCGGGATATGAGATCCAACCTATTTGTAAGCAAGAAAACAAACTGTTATATCTTATACTATATGCCTTTTGCACTCCAACGTAACAAAAAAAGAATAAACCAAAATAATCTCACCATGACCAAACTATGTCAAGGTATTGTTAAATAAAGAAAAGGCTGTGAACTTTAGAAAAATAGGACAAAATAAAAAATGAAACAAGTATTTTCCAGACTTTATCAATGATAAATTAAGTCATACAAAGGCTTGGGATAGAAATGAAATGCGTTTCATGAAAATATACTTACACTTAAAAATGGTAGGCTGACCACAATTGGAAGTTCAACTCTTCCAATTACAATGGGATTGATTTTTTTTGGCAGTTTTCTGTTGTTATTCTTTTTCATTATTATTAATTTATAATAGAAAATACAAAAATAGAAAAGAAAATAGTATCAAATATAGGGAAAAGGGAAGGGGAAAATGTAGGAAAAGAGGGCGGGAGAGAAAAAGTGTTGCCTTCTGACTCCCTTTGTGTAAATAAGATAATAACATCAAGCATCAACTTTTTATTTTTTTCATAATAGTATAAACCAGCCATTACTATAACAACAAATTTATCTAATCTATAAACCCCTAAATCAAAGTTTCATTTTTTTCCACCTCAAGCACAAAGTCCACAAGCGGTTTTCAAATAGAAACAAAAGTAATTGTGTTTTTTAACTTCAATCAAGGCAGTCAATACTTTGCAGCCATCCATCTATGGTGAGAATCAAAGTGTCCTTCCGTTTTTGTGCAGAATAATCTTGCTGCCATCAATTTATATAGCATTAAAGTTCCCATTTTCTTCCAAGTCTTACTCCATTAAACCCAAAAGAAAAGTTTCTGGTTTTATCTTTATATTCATGTTGAGAATCTTCCGTATTAGGATGTGAATCCTACTCCAACATTTCTTTGCTTTGTCACATGACCACCATAAGTGATAATGAATTGCAAACATTCATTTGAAATACCTTTATACATTCTTGACAACTTATCTGGTGTTAAATACTAACAATGCATCATCTTATAAAAGTTTTCTTTTAAATTATAATTTAGTATAAATGTTAAGCCTTTTGTCCACATATTCCCCCTCTATTATCATTTTTTACAATGATGTCATATTTAGGCAACCGTTATCACACATAGTATGCTCCAAGCAATGCAAAATCTTTTATTCTTCAATTGCTCTTGTTTATTTCAACCACATTTTCTTTTAAAAGAATCTACAATTCCAGGGATATCAAAGGTGCTTTTTCAAAAGGCAACTGGACTATTTTTTCCTTGAGGACCAAAACATTTCACTTCTCACTCAAGAGGCTTCATCACTTGTGACTTTTTTTTGGCGGCGGGGGAGGAGGCAAACGGAAGGATAGGTACTGACAGTTGAGACTGGATGGAGGTGGGATGAACATTCTGACCGGATGATGGAGGACTGTACTTAACTTTCTCTATCTTCCAACCCTCCAACATCCAGTCTCAACAGTCAGTACCTATCCTTCCATTCCCCACCCCACCCTGCCATCACAACTGATGAAGCTTCTTGGGTGAGAAGTGAAACGTTTTGTTCTTCCTCAAGGAACAAACAGTCCAGTTGCCTTTTGAAAAGCACCTTTGAGACAACTATGACCTGGAAAACTGAGCATTTCCACAGACAATTCAAGGGATACCAGGAATCAATTTTTATGGATTACACTGCAGGTTGCAAGAAACTTTTAAGAGCCCAATTTATCTAAAGATAGAATTCCACATACTGTAAATTTAAATAACTCCAAGAATAGTTATGGGCTCCAAAGTGTCCTGCCTTCAGGTGGAGGACACTTCTCAACATCTTTTTTTGTATCATGGTGAACAGCCTGGATGCTAGTCCTCGGCTAACAATCACAACCACATTTCTGTTGTTAAGTGAAACATTTGTTTAGTGAGTTTTGCCTCATTTTATGACCTTTCTTGCCACAATTAAGTGAATTTCTGAAGTTGATAAGTTAGTGACTCAATGTTAAAGTTCCAGCAGACGAACCCAACCAAAGTAACCACAGCCAAGAAGATCCAATCTCTTAATGCAAAACTTTATTGACTACATCATTTCGGCTACTTCCCGCACAAACCCCATGTAGTCAAAATTCAAGTTCTACTTCCCTCCAATTAGAGCAGGTCACATTGTCCAATTGAGTCTCCTGATAGTGTTGTCTTTCTGGCTCTGATAAACACCTGCCAAAATGTCCTTGGTTTTCACGTCTGGCATCTTGATGTCTGAAACCTAAGTTCTACTTTCCTCTGCCAATAGTTTGTTGGCAAGCTGAGAAGTGATAATAATTGCAAAAGCAAAAAGCAGCTTTGGAAGCTTGACACCCGGTTGTTAAGTGTTTTCCCCTTTGACTTTGCTTGTCAGAAGGTCACAAAAGGTCATCACATGACCCCAGGACACTGAAACTTTCATAAGTCATTTGCCAAGTGTCTGAATTTTGATCACATGACCATGGGGATGCGGCAAAGGTCATAACTGTGAGAAACTGTCTGAAGTCCCTTTTTTCAGTTCCGTTGTAACTTTGAATGGTCACTAAATGAATTGTTATAAAGTTGAAGACTATTTTATACCAAGTGTGGGCTTACCAGTATGGTGTAAAGTGGTACTAATACTGCTTGTGACCTTGATACTATCCCTCTATTGATGCAGCTCAGGAATGCATTGACCTTTTTGGCAGCTATGGCACACTGCTGGCTCATATTTAAGTGACTGTCTACTATGATGCCTAGATCTCTCTGTTATTGCTGTTGAGGCAGGTACCACATATTATATCCCTATGCATTTAGTTTTATGTGCCTAAGTGTACAAACTTCCTTTTCTCACCACTGAATTGCATTTTGCTGAATAGGACCCAGTGTTCAAGTCTGTCGAGATCCTATCTTGAGCCTATCTTCTGAAGTGTTGGCTATTCCACCCTGCTTAGTGTCATCTGCAAATCCCTTCATCTAAACTGTTGTGGCGCCCCAACTCACCCACACGTCAGAGTTGGTGTAGAGAGCTTTGTTCAATCTGTTCCCCCACAGATCTATTTCAGGTTTTCAGTTAGCTCCCAGATGCAAGCTTAGCACAGTAATTGGCTCGCGACTAAGTTGATAACCAAAAGCAAAAAAAAAAAAAAACTTACACCCAAACCAAAACCACCCTTGGAAATAAAGATTTTGCCGGGGTAGGTTCCAAAAATAAACAGCACAAACCCCCTCTGAGATCTGGGGCCTCCATTGAGTTTTGTCAACAAGTCCGGTGGTCTGGTTTCAGGGCTTTCAAGAAGAAGTCACAGGAATTGTCCAAGCCAAAAGTTCAGGGAGTCATTTTCAGCGAAGCCAGCCACGAACAAGCTTCAGATTAACCTTCCAGGCAATGGCCAATTAGTCCACCCGACAGATAACCGGCTGCTCCAAATATGAACATAAACACTCTCCGCAACTAAATTATATTGTCAGCCTCCACAAAGTTTTCTTGATATCTTTTGCTGCTTGCTTCCTGTTGGCTGCCATAGAAACAGAGCGAGGGATAATTTTGGTATTTGGGAGGGGAAGGTTGCTGGAGAGTGAAGACATTTTCTGTTTGAACTAAAAAGGAGGGGACGCTTTCCTACTTAGTAGTATCTCTACTAAGCCAAGGTCAACCATCTTGGCATACCAGATGAGTGAGAAACCACTTGAAGATGCACTCCACATGACATTATAAACACCTCAGATTGGATGACCATTCTGGAGTCTTGGGGGAGGGAACTTGGGATAACTTTCAATATGTAATATTCGCGCTCATTTGCTTCAGATCTAGCTTTCTTTTGGTGCTATCACTTCAAACTCGGTAACAGTACTTTTTCTCTACACCAATGGAGTTGAAGGATTTCTTTCTTGGGTTTTGAATGAGGCAGTGCCGACATTAAGCAAGATCTCTCTTTACCAGCCCACCTGGAGATAAACTCTACCGTGGGCGTTGAGGAAAAAGAAAATAATGTCTAACCAAGGCAGCGATCAAGAAGATTTGGGAGCTGTTGGATCTACCTCTTCACAGTTCCTTTGCAGTCCAGAGGAAGCCAAGCTGCTGTCTGCGTTGCAGATTGAGAAGAAGCCACTGGTTTGTCCCAAATGGTCTTTGGGAGTAAGATGATGGAGATGCTGGAGAAACTCCTCCCTGGGGCAACGGCTGCCAGACGCCGGCAGGGAGAAGCTGCCTGGCAGGAGGAAGACAAAGAAGACCTCCTGCTGACCCATGCTTTGCAATTATTTCATGAAGCTCTGGAGAATCAGAGAGCTAGAGGAAGGTATGCATTGTCTGCACACAAAGAGACTGGTGAAGCAATAGAGGAGGCAGAAGCCTCTGCAACCCCAGAAGTGCTTTCCATAGCCCAGCGGGGCCAGTGCAGTCTGCAGGAAGTCTAGCGGCTGCCGTAGCCCAGGGCCCCCGTTGTGGGGGTCAGCACCTTGGAGGCGCCAAATTCCAAAAGTTCCTCTGCTGGAAGTAAACTACGGAGGGGATTCCAAGGAGTTGGGTTTCTTCTTAGCCCAAGTTTAGAATCATATGGAGGAATATGGAGATGATTATGCCTCAGAAGCAGTCAAAGTGAGGTGTGTCACCAAAGCCCTAGAAGGGACTGCAGCCCAATGGATGGTCTCCCTTCACAATGATGATGCCCCTCAGCTGAGGGATTATGACATGTTTATGGCGGCCCTCCGCACTTGGTTTGAAGATCTGCTTGCTGAACGCAAGGCAAGAATTAGGATGAAAACCTAAATCAGGGGCGAATATACCCAGGAATTTCAGGAGCTGGCATGCCACATGTGAGCTTGGTCCCAAGAGGCCCCGATGGAATCTTACAAAGATGGGCTGAAGCTGTACCAAAGCTGTATCTCCAGAGGGGCTCCTCAAGATGTTCAGTACTGGTATGTGTTGGCAGCCAATGTGGAGATTGATCTGGCCAGAAACTGATGCGGGGGTGGCACCAACTGGAGTAAGCCTCTACATACCG